ACCTGTCATAATCTGCACCTCCTGGTTCACATACGAACGTTGTGAAGGACATGCGTTTATGAACCCAGGAAACAGGTACTTTCATTTCTGGCTTAAGCGCAGAGATTCAACATCTACACCACACGTTTCTAAACAACAGTCCCTAAAGGAGGATCCTTGACGAAGAAACTTTTGCACCCCAGCTCGAACTTAATAATTAGCAGTCTCTGTGGACCGATGGTGAATTTACCGTTCATACAAAATCTCAACGTGTCAGAAGGAACCTTAATGACATTGGGTTTAGGGTCCACTACAAGACTGGCAAAATATTGGGCAAAATGTCATTCAAGACGTACATGCCGACTGACCCGGAAGGAGTGTTGAATGTTTCATACAGAGTGCATTGCAGAGACTGCGACAAAGTGTACATCGAAAAGACTAACAAAGTGAAAGTTGAACATCGAGAATAAAGATCATCTTTCTGTGGTCCGCTGCTTTGGATAAGCGGACAGTTCCGCCATTGCCTAGCATGCGGTCACCGAAGGGAATTCTTTTAGGCAGGCCAATGTTTCTGTCATGGACATTTCTAATTAGACCAATCTAAATTAGGTCTGCTGATAATGGAGTCCTTGCATATACTGACGATGAAAATCCGACTGTGTGCAGCGATTACATCTTCCGCCATTTTTAGTCAGACCTGGGGCACAATCGCAAAATTGACACGCATAATCAGGTCATCATAACAAAGACACGATTGTTTCTATGTGAATTTTGCACTGTGCTTGTTAGCTAACATTCAGCTCAGTAAGTTTAGCAGCGCAGTATGTTCCATTGTTGGAAATAAGTTACTTCGAGCAGTCATTGTAATCAGTCCTGCCCTGATGATGCCACGGACTATGTAATGAAACTCGTCGGCAATAAGCGGCTGTACCATTTATTCATATGGTACCCTGAGCAATAGACCGCTATTTGTGTAACAACGGCCCCAAAATCAAGAACCTGAAGTCTTATTTAAATTGAGTAAAAATTGGATCATGATATGAAAGATCCAGTGATATGATGTCAGCTGGACTAATATATCAATCTCATCGTTGTTCGATACTCAGTCTGAGGGTTCCTACCTATGCTCACAGACAGATGTACTTTATATGAGTAGATCTGTCGTTCTTTCTTTGCCAGTGGGCCTTCTTAACCGTTTGTTGTTTGGGCTCTTAACTCTGAATCAGCGGACCATCTGCAATTTCAGCAACGGACTCAGAATCAGAAGCGTTATCATATTTATTATATTCATATTTTGCTTCATCAAATAATCAGAATATGCCACAGGCAAATTTTATATAGATGACAATAAGTATACATTCTTCATCGAATCGTTGCGGTTGCCAGCAGTGCGCTACTGATGACCAGTACTACTCAAAACCAGTTTGCATCGGACGCGCCTATGCTCATCCCTGTTTCCGGACATTCTTATTGTATTGTCTGTCACTATGACAAGTAAAATGTTTTCCAAGTAAAACAATCCCGACTTTTGCATGGTTTCCAAAAATGGGAACTTTCGATAGCGCTGCTGCATAAACGACAGTTAATGTCGAAATGTCCTGCCATGCGTCAAATTTTTTAATTTGCTTATAGATATTTATCTCATAAACTGCTAAGATACATCCAGCGTACTAGAAGTAAAGACGGTTCAGTAATCATATGGTGGAGAGATTTCAGCTTCCTGTTGTTCAGTGCATTACAAGACTGCTTAATCGTGGTTTCGACACATTGATTATGTGATACAGAGGTGTATACAATGTTTGCCAACATGTGAGAAGGTCGACCTTGTCAGTCATACGTTGTGATAGCTGTATGTATGAAAATCTGCACCGATGCGTACTGCCAAATAACGTTACGTAAGCACCGTCATGCTCTAACACGGGGGAAGGTCTTCCCAATGAACTCTCAGTGTGCAGAAACTCATTCATTTTCTAAATACTGTATTATGGACAAGGCAAACAAATATATTTCACTATTTTCCCTCCATGATGTTGAAAATGAGCAGTTAGTTCGCATATTCATAGTGCAGATGCAACAAAACAGTGGTTCATTAAATGCTGTGGATCTAGCGGAGTCATAAACGTCTCTCCAGGTGCTCCGATTATTCGATTCAACCCTCGAAGAGATATTTTTCAAGGAGTAGTAGGACGTTATTGATGTTTGTGGCTTAGTTACCGTAATCCCAAGAATTTCAAAATCACCGAGATGTAGTAGATCTGCCCTTCTGATTCATTTTGCAAATGAACTGAATGTGCTGCCATGTATCAGTCATTATCTGCTTGTTATATTCTGTGCGTTTATGCACCCAAAATG